CCGTCTCAAAAAAAAAAAAAAAAAAAAAAAGAAGAGAAGAAGAAGGAGGAGGAGGAGGAGGAGGAAAAGAAAATGCTTTAATGTGATATCAAAAAAACAAAAACAAGAAACCGAAAAATCCTCATTTTACCTTTTGCAAGTTTCCAGAAATTATTCTTTCACAGCAAAGAAGAACTCAGCTAGCTTTGGTGATAAGCTACCTGGGTTACTTAGTGTATGAACTGGGACGAGATACTAACTTACCCTTTCTGGGCATCAGTTTCCTGGTCTATAAAATGGGAATAATAATACTGTGATAGAATTTATTTCTCCCACATGAAAGAATATAGAGCTATAAGACAGGGTTCACTTTTTAAAATTATTCTAATCCTGGTCTAAGAATGGTTGATTAATACTTGTAGATCTTCTTACTTCTGGGTTTGTTTGACCAATATGAGATTGGGAGTGAGAATCTGTACACACTGAAGTCAGACCCCGCCTAGACTGGCCAGAATGAGAAGAGAGGCAGGGACTTGAGACGGCAAGCTTTGGGGCCTGGGAGAACAAGATGGGCTAAGAAAACAAAGAGTCAAGATCTTGAGACATTTGCAGGGGTAGCTGAGCAAAAACACAGTTTAAATGGTCTACTTGAATATCAGCAGTGGACTGACAGTTATAAACAGAGTGACAAGTGACATGATTATTATTATTATTATCATTTTTTTTTTTTGAGACAGTCTCGCTCTGTCACCAGGCGTCAGGCTGGAGTGCAGTGGCGCGATCTCGGCTCACTGCAACCTCCGCCTCCCGGGTTCAAGCAATTCTCCTGCCTCAGCCTCCCGAGTAGCTGGGACTACAGGCACGTGCCACCACGCCCAGCTAATTTTTGTATTTTTTTAGTAGAGATGGGGTTTCACCATGTTGGCCAGGATGGTCTCGATCTCTTGACCTAGTGATCCGCCCGCCTCAGCCTCCCAAAGTGCTGGGATTACAGGTGTGAGCCACCGTGCCTGGCCGTGACATGATTATTAATAAGTAAAATCTGATTTTATATCTTGGTAACTTTGCAAACAGTTTCTTGACTTTTACTGTTCTTTGTGCTTTCCATTATTTTATCTTACCCTCATCTACCTCTGAGATGGGCAGAAGAGGTACTATTCGTTTGACCAAGAACTTCATACAGTCAGGAGCTTCATAAGGTCATTTGCTTCTGTGTCTCTGCACACTGAGGCCCTTCAGAAAATAATGTAAATGGAATTCAGTTTCCATTGTGCAGATGAAGAAACAGGCCCAGTGGCGAAGCCCTTACCTAAGGTGACACGGTGGTAGAACTGTAAGGAGAACCCGAGCCTCCTGTCCTCTGATAGAAGCTCTCCTATGCCCAGTCGCTGTAGAGGTTTGTATTGCAGAGTCTACCTCGCATGCTCTGGGTAGTGTGCCTCGCATACCCCAGGCCTCTGTATGTGGCCAGGAGTAGAATCTAGGTGAGAGCTCAAATAAAGCACCAGGCTGAGTTCATTGTTCCTGCCTTTTGGCCCTAGAGTAATGCGGGAGAGCCAGGCATGGAGTGCCTGCCTGTAGTCACAGCTAATCAGGAGGGCGAGGCAGGAGAATCACTTGAATGTTTGAGGCTGCAGTGAGCAATGATCATGCCACTGTACGGCAGTTTTGGGCTACAGAGGCAGATCACATCTCTTTAAAAATTTTTTAGAGATCCTGTCTCTTAAAAAAAAGTTTTATTTAAAAAATGTAAGAAAGAGAAAGACCAGAGACAGCTATGCCTTTTAAAATCCTCCCTAAAGTGTAGTCGTCTTGCCAACCCTTTCAGCCATTCACACAACAATCCTAGTCATAAACTGGGACCACACTTGCCGTCGCCTGGGGTCAGGAAAACTGGCCAGCTGAATCCCCTTGGAGGGAAGAAGCTGAGTGTGGGTGTTAGAGAAGGAGAAGTCGGTCAGCCAGTATAGGCCTGAAAAAAAAGAAAAAATAATTATTAAAAAAAAAAAAAGAGAGGGAGGAGGAGATGTGGGGACCCCGTGCTTGTCTGGAATCACTGTGCCACACCCTGGTCGGTAGGTACAGGACTGTCTCAATCATCTCACTCCAGTCCTGTTTTAGCATCTGGGGGGAAGCAGAGAATGAAAGTGATCTTGAGTAAACTAAACACAGTTTAGCTATTCATTATATGTATTCCTGTCTGTTCCTTTCTCATTCTATCCTTAATGGGTTGTTTTTGCATCTATCAAATAGTTCTAGGCTTTCCTCCCCTCCAGCCTTTTATGGATTTACATACCAGAGATTTCCAAGCCACAGTTCAGAAGTGATTTGTGGAGAAAGGAGCAGTAAAGAATGAGCCTGGGAATCGACGCAGGGGCCCCCAGGATGTGGAGCCATTTATATCTACTCCTCCCTCTGCCGGAGGCTGTTTGTTTGAGTTGGGAGGAAGCCAATCAGATGCACTGGATCAGGGTGTCCTGTCCAAGGAGACAGGGGGCTATTTGTCTTCTCCCATGAGAGAGACAGTCGTGGGAGGAGGAGGGAAGCGCTTAAGAACAGGGACGGAGTAGACAGGGAAAAGATAGTCAATCAAATCTCTCAAGAGTATAGTCTGCTGGGTGCAGTGACTCATGCCTGTAATCCCAGCACTTTGGGAGGCCAAGCGGGGAGAGTTACTTGAGTCCAGGGGTTGGGGAGCAACCTGGGCAAGATAGGGAGACCCTGTCTTTACAAATAATTTTTGAAAGTTAGCCGGGTGTGGTGTTGCACATTGTGCACTAAGCTACTCAAGAGGCTGAGGTGGGAGGGCTCATTTGCGCCTGGGAGGTCGAGGCTGCAGTCTGCTGTGATCAGATCACTGCACTCCAGCCTGGGTGACAGAATGAGACCCAGTCTCAAAAAAAGAAAAAATATATATATTCAGGGCGGGCTTCCTCTTATTAGATATGGCCCAAGTGAAAACCTGGAACTTGTCTGAACTGGACAGCCAAGGAGAGAGGCAGAAGAGGATTAGTGGGAAAAGCGGGAACTTCTAGGTTTGACTCAACGACTGTGTGTGATTGGGGGCAGGCCACCTTCCTCTCCATCTCCTCTGTCTCCTCCTCTAGTAAATGTTCAGCATCCTGAGGTCTCCTCCAGTTCTGAAAGGGGATGGTTCTTTTTTTTTTTTTTGAGATGGAGTCTCACTTTGTTTCACTCTGTTGTCCAGGCTGGAGTGCAGTGGCGCCATCTTAGCTCACTGCAACCTCTGTCTCCCGGGTTCAAGTGATTCTCCCACCTCAGGCCTCCTGAGGAGCTGGGATTACAGGTGTGCACCACCACGCCTGGCTAATTTTTGTATTTTTAGTAGTGGCAGAGTTTTACCATGCTGGCCAGGCTGGTCTCAAACTCCTGACCTCAGGTGATCCACCCACTTTGGCCTCCCAAAGTGCTGGGATTACAGGCATGAGTCATAGTGCCCGGACTCTTTTTAAAAAAATTTTTAACTTACAGAACATGAAATTATTTGTTTTTAATAATGCAAAGTTACTTCCATGGGGCTGCTCAACAGAGAGAAAATAAGGCTAAAATGCAACTTAAAGCTCACAACATTTCTAAACGGCTGTTTACAGGGGCAGGTGGAGGGAATCCTCCCTCTGCATTGATAGAAAACAGAACAATCAGGCCTATTCGGCCTTGTTGGAAATGTTCTGTATCTTGATCTGGTGGGTTTTTACCTGTGTACATCATATGTACATAGATAAAAATTCATTTACCTGTACACATAATTTCCATGCACTTTTTTGTATGTAAATTATGCCTCAATGAGAAAGTTTTTAAAATGAACTTCATTAGGCCGGGCACGGTGGCTTATGCCTGTAATCCCAGCACTTTGGGAGGCCAACGCAGGCGGATTGCTTGAGCCCAGGAGTTGGAGACCAGCCTGGGCAACTTGGTGAAACCCCATCTCTACAAAAATACAAAAATTAGATGGGCGTGGTGGCGCACACCTGTAATCCCAGCTGCTCAGAAGGCTGAGGTGAGAGGAGGATGGCTTGGACCTGGGAGGCAGAGGTAGCGGTGAGCCGAGATTTCACCACTGCACTCCAGCCTGGGTGACAGAGCCAGACTCTGTCTCAAAAAAAAAAAAAAAAAAAAAAAAATTAGCCGGGTGTGGTGGTGCACACCTGTAGTCCTAGCTAATTTTGAGGCGAAGGCGGGAAGATCACTTGAGCCCAGGTGTTTGAGGCTGCAGTGAGCTGTGATTGGGCCACTGCTCTCCTGCTTGGGCAACAGATGGAGACCCCTGTCTCTTTAAATGAATTTCCATCTAGGAAGATTAAGGACGTCCTTCTGAGTACTTTAAAAAAAGTACTATTTGTGCTGAGGGAAGAGGTAGAAAATTAGGGAAGCAATAAGATAACCTCTGTTTTGGAGAGATTTCCAAAGTCCTGCTATCCTCAGAAATTCTCATGTTCCTCCCCAAGGACAGAAAAATCTTCCTTCCTGTCTAATCTCCATCTCTCCTCTTGCAATGCTAGCCACTCCCTCTGCCCTCATGGAGCCCAGCCTTTCCTCTGGCCGCAGACAAAATCTCTTTAGAGTCCTGCAGTTTGAAGTATTGAGAGAGATTCCATTTCAACCTTTCCACCATCCGTTGTCTGCCCCTCACCCTATTCTCTTCTCTTGGAGATGTCAATTCCTGTTCTGAGCCCGCCCCCCATCCAGGCCCTTTTCCGGTGGTATGTGCCAGCCGGTCCTGCATCCCACATCCCCAGCTGTTGACATTTCATTGCCATTGCCCACAGAATAAAGAAAGGGGCCCTGTTATTCAACAATAGGGGAAAAGAGAGAGACAATGGGAAATTGTGCTTCCGATGGGGTGGGGACTGAGAAGGGAAGGATAGACAGACAGACAGGGGGCTGTAAAGAAGAGGTCAGGTTTCCTGAAGCAGCTGGAAGTCCTGGATGGTTCCCACCTGAGAGTCCATTCGCAAAGGCAATGTGCACTCAGGCACCAGAGGGCAGAGGTGAGTACTCTGCTGTGGGGCAAGGGGAGATGGGGGTGCTGCTGAGATGAGGTGCATCTGGAAAAGGAGGTAGCTGGAGCTTGGCATTTACGGATCTTTGAGCCACATTTAGAGTTCATCCCCATCCCCATCAATCCAACACCTTCATATCCAACGATCGATCTACCCCTCTCTGGTCTAAAGGCATCGAGAAACAATGAAGCATCTCACTTTCTGCACTCTTCCTGGTCATCGTGCCTGGGTTGCCCCCTTTATTCCATTCCCCTTCATGGGTTCCCAGCCCTCATCCCAAGCCCAGCATCTTCCCCTGGTTCCAGAATAGTGCTTTTCACAGATGTAGTCACAGGGCTGGACACAGGTCACTTAACAGGGCTGAATGGACTGGTGGGGGTGGGGGGTCGTTCTTAGCAGCTTGGCTGCTTCTTTGAGCACAGGACAGAAGCTTTTCCTCAAAGGTGCAAAAGGAGAAACTGTGTTGATCAGGTACTCAAGTCCCAGAATTTTAAGGTGCTTGGAACTCTCAGGAGCCTGGCAACAGCTTCTTCCGGAACCTCTTCCTCAAGCAAGGCAAAAAGCTGCTAAGCACTGCTCCTTCCATCTCTGGGAAGAGACCAGGTAGGCAATGGAGCTGCTGATTACTCTCTCATTTTCTATTAGGAGGTATGAAGAGCATATGCACCTGTTTTGAAATACAGAAATATAGATCAGTGATTAAGTGCTCAAGCCTCACTCTCAGATCTGGATTCAAATCCCAGCGAACCCTTCCTCTTACTAGCTGTGTGACCTCATTTCCTAAAATGTGTGAACCTTTGTTTCAGCAGGTGTACAATGGGATTTATAATTGTTTCTGCCTCAGAGGATTGCTGGGAGGAGTAAATATAAAAATATATATGTGGCTGAGCGCGGTGGCTCATGCCTGTAATCCCAGCACTTTGGGAGGCTGAGGTGGGCAGATCACCTAAGGCCAGGAGGTCAAGACCAGCCTGGCCAAAATGGTGAAATCCTGTCTCTACTAAAAATGCAAAAATTAGCCAGGCATGGTGGCAGAGACCTGTAATCCCAGCTCCTTGGGAGGCTGAGGCAAGAGAATGGCTTAAACCTGGGAGGCAGAGGTTGCAGTGAGCCGAGATCATGCCATTGTACTCCAGCCTGGAGGACAAGAGTGAGACTTTGGGTGCTTCCTCCCTCTCTCCATTACCCATCCTGTCTTCCCATGAGTCTTTAATGTAAGTTCATTCATTAAACCACACACACTTATTTAGCACCTACTATGTGCCAGAAACTATGCGGGGAACTGGAGATAACAGCTAACACATACAGAGCACTTATTACATTCCAGACACTATTTCAAGCATTTTGAATCTCTCACTTCATTTAATCCTCACAACTACTCAGTGAGGTAGGTGTGCTATTATTCCCCACATTTCACTGATGAGGACCCTGAGGCAGAGAGAGGTTAAGTAACTTCCACATGATAAGTAACTTATGCATAGTCATGCAATTAAGAAATAGAGGAGCCAGATTTGGAGAATAAATGCAGTGAAGTCAAGAAGTCTTCAGTCAATTTTTTTATTTTCTTGGAGACAGGGTCTTGCTCTACCCCCCAGGCTGGAATGCAGTGGGACGATCTTGGCTCACTGCAGCCTCCGCCTCCCGGGTTCAAACAATTCTCCTGCCTCAGCCTCCTGAGTAGCTGTGATTACAGGTGCATGCTACCACGCCCAGCTACATTTTTTATTTTTAGTAGAGATGGGGTTTCACCATGTTGGCCATGCTGGTCTTGAACTCCTGACTTCAAGTGAACCACCCACCTCGGCCTTCCAAAGTATTGGGATTACAGGGATGAGCCACTGTGCCCAACCCAGTTCATTTTTTTTTTTTTAAAGGTCAAGGTGATAAGAATGATACAATAAAGGAACAGCTAGATGCAGTGACTCAGACCTGTAGTTCCAGCTACTTGGGTGGCTGAGGTGGGAGGATTGCTTGAGCTCAGGAGTTGGAGGCCAACCTGGGCAACATAGTAAGATCCTGTCTCTAAAAAAAAATAAAAATAAATAAAGAGGAGGGGGCATCAACTACTATACTGAAATAGATAATTGCATTTAAAGTAGTTTTTAAAAAAAACTTTATAATTTTTTTTTTTTTTTTTTCTTTTTGAGACGGAGTTTCACTCATGTTACCCAGGCTGGACTGCAATGGCGCGATCTCGGCTCACCGCAACCTCCGCCTCCTGGGTTCAGGCAATTCTCCTGCCTCAGCCTCCTGAGTAGCTGGGATTACAGGCACGCGCCACCATGCCCGGCTAATTTTTTGTATTTTTAGTAGAGACGGGGTTTCACCATGTTGACCAGGATGGTCTCGATCTCTTGACCTCGTGATCCACCCGCCTCAGCCTCCCCAAAGTGCTGGGATTACAGGCTTGAGCCACCGCACCCGGCAAAACTTTATAATTTTATATTTAACTTCATAGTTTCTGGAAAACCTCCTTGATATAGTCTATATATGCATATGCATATAGTTCAAATTCACACTGTTAAATTTAGGTGCTAGTAAGAGTACTTGTAAGACAAAAAGTGCTGGCTGGGTGCGGTGACTCAGGCTTGTAATCCCAGCATTCTGGGAGGCCAAGGCAGAAGGATTACTTGGGCCCAGGAGTTAAGACCAGCCTGGGCAACATGTCGAAACTCCACCTCTACAAAAAATACAAAAGAAAAAAAATTAGTGGGGCGTGGTGGTGTGTGCCAGTCGTCCCAGCTACTCGGGAGGCTGAGGTGGGAGGATGGCTTGAGCCTGAGAGGCGGAGGCTGCAGTAAGCCGTGATCATGCCACAGTCTGGGTGACGGAGTGAAATCCTGTCTCAAAAAAAAAAGTCCCCAGTTCAGCAGACGACAGTGCACTACAGTGTAGCAAACTGGGGGTGAGGAAAGGTTTCCCAAAGGAGGTGAGGCCTGTGTAACCAAGACGGGCACAAAGGAAAGGAAGTGAGTGCAAACTTGGACTGTGTGGGAAACTGCCAGAAGTCCAGCATGTCTGGGGCACAGTGCAGAGGCCAGCGTGGTAAGAGGCGAGGCGGAGCCAGGCTGGAGGTGCACGGAGCAACTAGATTATAGACAGCCTCGGAAGCTGTGGTTATGAGATTGGATTTTATCCTCAGGGCAATCAGAAGTCACTTTCAAACAGGAGAATGACAAGGCCAGGCACAGTGGCTCACGCCTGCTGTGTTCCTAGCACCAGCCTTGCCAACACAGCAGGACCTTGTCTCTACTAAAAACTTAAAAAATTAGCTGGGTGTGGCAGCGCATGTCTGTATTCCCAGCTACTCAGGAGGCTGAGGTGGGAGGATCACCTGGGCCTAGAAGTTAGGGGCTGCAGTGAGCCATGATCATGCCACTGCGCTCCAGCCTGGACCATGGATCGAGACTCGATCTAAAAAAAAAAAAGGCAGGAGAGTGACAAGATCATTTTGACTCTAGCTTCAAGATGGAGAATGGGTGCTGGGAGAGGATAGACATGAGCTGGCAGTCCAGATGGCAAGCTTGGGAAGTAGCACTTGTGATGAGGGGGACAGGTAGAGGAGATGCTAAATTAGTACCTGCAGGCTGAGAGGATGTGAGAGAGGAAGAGAGGGTGAGGAAGGGGGTTGCTACTGCCTTCCTCCCCTCATTACCGTCATTTTGTCACTAACCCCTTTTCTCTGCCCCAGTGGCTTCCAGCTGGACAGTCCCTTCTAGGAATCTCTGATGGGAGTTCACCCCCAACCCTGCTCTTCCCCCCACTTTTGCCTCAGTCCTGAGAACTTCCCATCCTTCCTGTCCTGCAGACAGTTCCTGGCTAACTCTCCATCATGCCAGGCTGGCTCACCCTCCCCGCGCTCTGCTGTTTCCTGCTCCTTTGGGCCTTCACCGTCTTCCATAAAGCCCAAGGAGACCCAGGTAAGACCCCAGCCCAGGCCAGACTCTGAGGAAGGCTTGCGGAGACTGCAAGGGTGGGGAAAGGGGAAAGGGCAGCTGTTGCAGGTACCCACGGAGTGAAAGTCATTGCTGAGAAGGCAATGAGGAGAGGGTTGGGGGGCTCTGGAGAAAGCATTTAGGGAGCAGGGTCTGATGGGCACTTGGGGCAGTGAGGATCAAGGGGTTCCTGCCACTGTGGCTCCCTCTGCTCAGCATCCCACCCCGGCCCCCACTACCTCCTGCCCCCCATCCACGAGGTCATTCACTCTCATCGTGGGGCCACGGCCACGCTGCCCTGCGTCCTGGGCACCTCGCCTCCCAGCTACAAGGTGCGCTGGAGCAAGGTGGAGCCCGGGGAGCTCCGGGAAACGCTGATCCTCGTCACCAACGGACTGCAAGCCCGGGGGTACGGGCCCCTGGGAGGGCGCGCCAGGATGCGGAGGGGGCATCGGCTAGACGCCTCCCTGGTCATCGCGGGCGTGCGCCTGGAAGACGAGGGCCGGTACCGCTGCGAGCTCATCAACGGCATTGAGGACGAGAGCGTGGCGCTGACCCTGAGCCTGGAGGGTGAGGCCCTTCCGCTCCCGCCCCATTCCTCTCTAGCAGGCGGGGCCGCCTCGCCTGGGGTCTCCCAGGGCTCCTTCCCAGTATCTCCCTCGCACCTCCGGGGACCCCAGCTCCCTCTCCCAGGCCGCACCGCCCTTCCTACCCCTCCACCATCGTCTGCTGGCCCTCCCCAGCCTCCCCGCCACCTCCTAGGTGTGGTGTTTCCGTACCAACCCAGCCGGGGCCGGTACCAGTTCAATTACTACGAGGCGAAGCAGGCGTGCGAGGAGCAGGACGGACGCCTGGCCACCTACTCCCAGCTCTACCAGGGTGAGCGGCCAAACCCAGCACCGCCCAGGCCCCGCCGAGCTGTCACAGGGGCCCGACAGAGGGCGCCAGGCGAGCTCAGTCTGGCTCCTGCCTGGAACGCCTCTCATCCCCGACCCCCGCCGTCTCCCGCCAGCGTGGACCGAGGGTCTGGACTGGTGCAATGCGGGCTGGCTGCTCGAGGGCTCCGTGCGCTACCCTGTGCTCACCGCGCGCGCCCCGTGCGGCGGCCGAGGCAGGCCCGGGATCCGCAGCTACGGGCCCCGCGACCTGATGCGCGACCGCTACGACGCCTTCTGCTTCACCTCGGTGTTGGCGGGTGAGGGGAGGGGCGAAGACAGGGTCTTGGGGCGGGGTCTGAAAAGTGTAGGGGGCGGGGAGTGGACCTCAGCGTGAGATTAGGGCAGGGTCTCCGGGTCCCTCCAAGGCACCGCCCCTCCATCAGCCCGCGCTCCCGCCGAGGTTCCAGACCACCTCTCCAAACCCTCCCGGCACTTCTGCCTCCATCCCCCTACTCCTGGTACTCAAGCCCGATCCCGCCCCTCTGCGGCCGGCGCCCCAACTCTGCCGCCTGGGAGTCAGCCTCCCTGCCCCGCCCTGCCCACCCTGCTCTCTGTCGGTGACCCTCTGTGATCCCTAGGCCAAGTGTTCTTCGTGCCCGGGCGGCTGACGCTGTCTGAAGCCCACGCGGCGTGCCGGCGACGCGGCGCCGTGGTGGCCAAGGTCGGGCACCTCTACGCAGCCTGGAAGTTCTCGGGGCTAGACCAGTGCGACGGCGGCTGGCTGGCTGACGGCAGCGTGCGCTTCCCCATCACCACGCCGCGGCCGCGTTGCGGGGGGCTTCCCGATCCCGGAGTGCGCAGCTTCGGCTTCCCCAGGCCCCAGCAGGCAGCCTACGGGACCTACTGCTACGCCGAGAATTAGTGTCACCGTGTCCTCTCCAGCGCGCCCGAAAAAGCGTGGGAGTCGTAGCTGGGTTCGCTTGCCACCCCTTTCCGGAGCTCCAGACCGGGAGCGGCCTCTGCAGACCTGCCTTTCCAGCGGGTGCTGCGGGCCCCGGACTCCGGCTGGCCCGGCGACGTGGAGGGGAAGTGGGTGCGCCCCCGGCGGCGAGGTGCGGCGGTGACCCTCGGACCCGCTGAGGTTCGCGCGCCCCCGCAGTGGGCTCAGCAGCCAGTGGGCGGGAGGGGAGGCCGGGGGTATTGACGGCAATAAAATAACCTGGAGACCTTTTGTGTTGGACGGAGCTGTAAGCGCTGCGAGGCGTGGATGTGTGTGTGAGTGTGCGTGTGTGCGTGCCTGGGCTGATGACGCGGGACCCTGCGTGGCCACTGAACGCCTAAGAGAGTAAGGGACGGGGCTGTTGACGTTACGAGGTGGGTCAGTGCAAGGGCAGGAGTGCGGCCGGAGGGCATCCATAGGCCAAGGGAGAGGGAGAGATGGAGACGTCGTGGGCGCCTGGCCGGGACCCACGCGGGAGAACCGTGGATGTTGTTGCGCCAGGCGCCACGCGGGGGCGCTGCACACGCACCTAAGATTAGTTCAAATCTGCCAGGGGCGCCCCATGCCCCCAGGCCTACCCTGTGTGCCCAGATAACAAATAGACAACTAACATATTTCAAAATGTGCAGCAGCCTGCAGACCTTCCTGAAGCGTTTGCGGGGACTACTATTAAAGATAGAAAAGTGATACTGTTGTTAGAATTGACAGGAAATTAACCCTACGGAAGGAGGAGGCAAACACCAAACACCAGGGCCACCAAAGCAAAGGGGGAACTGGACAAGTAACATTCTCCACCGTGGCTACAGGAAACATAACAGCAATTCAAGAGACGAGTTCTAATGTTATTATTAATTCACTTTTCACATATAGATTGGTGTGTATATACGTTGGTTTCTAACTATACTACAAAAAGCCTGAGCTAGATAATAGTAATGAATGGGGCAAAGGGTATGCACACTCTAATGGTGCTTGATATGTGTTGCAAAATTGATTTCCAAGGGGGTTCTTGCTATAATTGCTAAAGAGACCAGCCTGTCCAATACAGTGAAACCCCTTCTCTGCAGAGAATGATAGAATGAACACCATCTTCAATAACCATCATGCAGCAAATGAGGTATTTGTGCTATTTCCTAAACCTTGGTTTTCTCATCTTGGTGTGGGATAATAGTTTTTGTCTTTTGTGATTGTAGTCAGTTGAGGCATTGCATGTACTGGGCAGTACATGCCTAGTACACATAATGGGCACTCAAGTGGTACCTATAATAATTAATAATTATTGTGATGATGGTAATATGGCAACAACAGTAATTTTTCAGCTTCTTGCCAGGCAGCCTGGAGGACTGGTTGTTGTATGGCACTACATTAGCCAAGATCAGATAGATTATTCTGTGATAACAAACAACTCCCAAATCTCAGATAACAAATGTAAGATGACCTAAACATTTCAAAATGTGCAGCCTGCCGACCTCCCAGAAGGGTTTGCAGGGACTACTAACAAAGATAGGAAAGTCGGGTGGGCAGAGTGGCTTACACCTATAATTCCAACACTGTGGGAGGCTGAAGTGAGTGGATCTTTTGAGGTCAGGAGTTCGAGACCAGCCTGACCAACATGGTGAAACCCCGTCTCTACTTTAAAAATACAAAAATTAGCTGGGTGTGGTGACAGGGGCCTGTAATCCCAGCTACTCGGGAGGTTGAGGCAAGAGAATTGCTTGAACCCGGGAGGTGGAGGTTGCAGTGAGCCGAGATCACACCATGCACTCCAGCCTGGACAACAGGGCTAGAGTCTGTCTCGAAATAAATAAATAAATAAATAAGGTTTATTTTTCACTCAGGCTACATGTGCATCGTGGTCAAGAAGGGAGTTCTCATTTTTGTGATTCAGGAACACAGGCGGATACAGCAGCCACCATCTCGAATACTGTCAATCACCACATCAGAAAGAAAAAATAAAAAGAGCTCTGCAGGGTTTCACAAACGCAATTAATAGCTCCCACCCAGAAGTGACACCTGTCCCTTCAGTTCACAACTCATTTGCCAGAACTAATCACATGGCTCCACCCAACAACAAGGGGGCAAAAAAGAGCAATCCTTCTTTGGCCTAGAAATAGAGAAACTGCAAATATTTGATAACAGCCTCAGTGTCCACCACAAGCACCAAGGAGAGCAGTCTAGACTCTGGAAGATATTGGTAGTCACCCATCCATCTACCCCTTTCCCGGGTTTTCTAAGCGATGGCCTATGATGAAGTCAGAGCCCCAGAAAGCTAAGATACTGGACCCCAGCAGCTCAGCCAGCAGGAGGTTGGCTTTTCTTCAGTGTAATGTCTTCAGCCCAAGGGCAAGAGGCCATACGAGAAATGGCCATGGGGCAAGCATGGTGGCTCATGCCTGTGATCCCAGCACTTTGGGAGGCCAAGGTGGGTGGATCACTTGAGCCCAGGAGTTTGGGACCAGCCTAGGCAACATGGCAAAACCTCACCTCTACAAAAAATACAAAAATTAACTGGGCTTGGTGGCACACGCCTGTTTTCCCTCCTACTGGGGAGGCTGAGGTGGGAGGAGCGCCTGAGCCAGGGAAGTTGATCAAGGCTGCAGTAAGCTGAGATCACACCGCTGCTCTCCAATCTGGTGACAGAGCAGGACCCTGCGTAAAAAAAAAAAAAAGTCAAAAAGGCCAGGAGAGGAGTTTTCCATTTGCTACAAATCTCCATTTCTTCAACTATAAAACTGCAACACCACTCATTCCTGCAGCTACTCTGCATATTGCTATCACCACTCTTTCTTATTATAGAAAACTTCAAACATACACGAAAATATTGAGAATAGTATGATGAACTACTCCATCACCTGGCTGACCATCATCAAAATTCTGCCCTTCTTTTTTCCTGGGTCCTCTCAGTCATGTTGGGTTTTGCTGGAGTATTTGAAAGTAAATCCCAGATATTCTATCATTTCACCTGTAAGACTCAATATGCGTTTCTAACAATGACTTCTAAAAATAACCATAATTCCATTATCACACTTCCTCCCAAAAATTAAACTAATTTTTATTTAAATGATTCTTTTTCTCTGAATGGCCAAACAATAAAATTTTATAGTTGATTTGCTCAAACTAGAATCCAGCTAAGGTCTACAACATTGCAACTGGTTAATTTGGAGGATGAAGAGGTTAACTGATGCTTTTCTTTTTTTTTTGGAGACTGAGTCTCTGTCACCAGGCTGGAGTGCAGTGGCACCATCTTGGCTCACCACAACCTCCACCTCCTGGGTTCAAGCGATTCTCCTGCCTGCCTCAGTCTTCAGAGTAGCTGGAATTATAGGCATCCACCACCACGCCTGGCTAATTTTTGTATTTTCAGTAGAGACAAGGTTTCACAATATTGGCCAGGCGGGTCTTGAACTCCTGACCTTGTGATCCACCCACCTCAGCCTCCCAAAGTGCTGGGATTATAGGCATGAGCCACCATGCCCAGCCTGATGCTTTTTTTTTTTTTTTTAAGACAAGATTTCACTATGTTGCCCAGGCTAGACTTTAATTCCTGCTTTCAAGTTATTCTCCTGAGTAATTTCTTTCTGTCTCTGTTAAGCTGTAATATTTCTGTCCCCTTCATTTTATCTATGCCATTTTGTTTGTTTAAGAAACTAGGTCATTTTTTTCCTGTCAAGTTTCCCACATTCCGGGTTTGGCTGAGTGTATCCTTGCAAACGTCATTTATCACGTTCCTTTGTCCCCTGTGATTATATTTAGAAGTTTGATTAAATTCAAGCCAGACACAGTGGCTCACGCCTGTAATCCCAGCACTCTGAGAGGCCAAGGTAGGCAGATCACCTGAGGTCAGCAGTTCAAGGTCAGCGTGGCCAACATAGTGAAACCCCATCTCTACTGAAAATTCAAAACATTAGCCGGAGCCGGGCGCGGTGGCTCAATCCTGTAATCCCAGCACTTTGGGAGGCTGAGGCGGGTGGATCACGAGGTCAAGAGATCAAGACCATCCTGGTCAACATGGTGAAACCCTGTCTCTACTAAAAAATACAAAAAATTAGCTGGGCTTGGTGGCGCGTGCCTGTAATCCCAGCTACTCAGGAGGCTGAGGCAGGAGAATTGCCTGAACCCAGGAGGCGGAGGTTGCGGTGAGCCGAGATCGCGCCATTGTACTCCAGCCTGGGTAACAAGAGCGAAACTCCGTCTCAAAAAAAAAAAAAAAAAACATTAGCCGGGCGTGGTGGTGGGGGTCCTGTAATGCCAGCTACTTGGGGGACTGACACAGGAAAATCGCTGGAACCCAGGAGGCAGACATTTCAGTAGGCTGAGATTGCACCACTGTACTCTGGCCTGGGCATGTGAGTGAGACTCCATCTCCAAATAAATAAATAAATTCACACTCACTGTTTTCTAGGAACAGTCCATAGGTGATATTGTATACTTTCTCTTTTCTCACATCAGGAGGCACCTGGTGACTAGTTGTTCTGCTTTCTTTTGTTTGTTTTTTGAGACGGAGTCTTGCTCTGTCACTCAGGCTGGAGTGCAGTGGCAGAATCTCAGTTCACTGCAACCTTTGCCTCCCGGGCTCAAGTGATCCTCCTGCTTCAGCCTCCTGAGTAGCTGGGATGACAGGTGTGCACCACCGCACCCAGCTAGTTTTTGTAATTTTTTTGTAGAGACGAGGTTTCACCATGTTGCCCAGGCTGGTCTCAAGCTCCTGGCCTCAAAAGATCTTCCCGCCGGGCGGGGGGAAGGGAGCACACACACACACACACACAAAAGATCTTCTCACCTTGGCCTCCCAAAATGTTGGGATTACAGGTGTGAGCCCTGCCCTTGATCTACGTTCAATAATGTTGAGATTAATTAGCAGATTCAGAGACTGTCAGTCTATTCATTATAAGGTTCTTCATTGTATTAGTTTCTGCTGTAACAAATTACAACAAATTTTGTGTTTAAAACAACAGACATTCATTATCTTACCATAGTGACATTTATTCTCTACCCGCCAGAAGTCCTAAATTAGGTTTTCAATAGCACAGTGGTAAACAGCAGCAACAGCAGCAACAAAGCCTAGGTGTCGGCAGGCCGCACTCCCTCTGGAGGTTGTGGGCAGAACACTTCCTTGGCTCTTCCAGCTTCTGGTGGCTTCTGTTCCTTGGCTTCCTCAGCTGCATTGCTGCGATCTCTGCCTTTGTGGTCATGTCTCCTCCTCTTAATGCATCTGTGTCTTTTCCTCCTCTACCTCTCATAAAGACACCTGTCAGTCATAGGACTTACCCCACCCAGCGAATCCAGGGTGAACTCATTTCATGATCCTTAACTGAAGGTAGGGAATGAATTCATGTAATGACTTACATCTGCAAAGATCCTTTTCTCAAACAAGGTAATATTCACAGTTTTCAGGGATTAGGCCATGGACATGTTTTCTTGCGGCCACTATTCAACTCCCTACACCTAACAACCTTTTTTTTTCTTTTTTTTTTGAGACAGAGTTTCGCTCTTGTTACCCAGGCTGGAGTGCAATGGCGCGATCTCGGCTCACCGCAACCTCCGTCTCCTGGGTTCAGGCAATTCTCCTGCCTCAGCCTCCTGAGTAGCTGGGATTACAGGCACGCGCCACCATGCCCAGCTAATTTTTTGTATTTTTAGTAGAGACGGGGTTTCACCATGTTGACCAGGATGGTCTCGATCTCCTGACCTTGTGATCCACCCGCCTCGGCCTCCCAAAGTGCTGGGATTACAGGCTTGAGCCACCGCGCCCGGCCCACCTAACAACCTTTAATCTGATGACACTGATAATCATTGTCTAGATCATTAATTCATTAGGAGTTGCAAAATGGAGATTGTCTAATTTTATCAACCCGCCTTTTTTTTTTTTTTTTTTGAGATGGAGTCTTGTTCTGTCACCCAGGCTGGAGGTGCAGTGGCGTATCTCAGCTCACTGCAACCTCTGCCTCAGCCTCCATAGCAGCTGGAATTACAGGTGCATGCCACCGTGCCCAGCTAATTTTTGCATTTTTAGTAGAGAAGGGGTTTCATCATGTTGGTCAGGCCGCTCTCGAACTCCTGACCTCAAGTGATCTGCCTGCCTCAGCCTCCCAAAGTGCTGGGATTACAGGCATGAGC